GCTGTAAAACAAACTTTAAAAGACGTCTCTCTGGTACTTAAAGATGCCTTTTGACAGCCAATTTGAAAGTTTTTTGCCAATTTTAGAAAGAAGGTTAGATGGTGACTGGGGACTAATGTCTTTTTAACATTTCTTTATCTTTGAAAGAATTTGCATACTGTAAGTTTGATTTATCCATATTAAAAGCCTGGATTATGTGTTGAGATGGTATTAATTAAAAAAATCATGCATCATTATATAACGTTGAATTTACGATAATTTGCAATCATAATCACAAAAAATAGCAAGAAATATCCTCTAACATTCAAAAGAATAACAAATGTACAAGATAAGTAATGGTTCAAAATAACACTAAAGAGTATACCATATGTAGAAACTGAAGAAAAACACATTCCGAAGATAATCATAGCATCTTTATTTTAATGATCATAATTTGTATATGAGAATTGAAGAGACTTTGCTCTTTTACATAATTTCTGTCATTATACAGTGCGTCCCAGAAAAAACGAAACCGAGAATTATCGATGTTTTATCATAAATTAATCACAATTACAATCAATAAATGACACATATTTGTTAAGCTTAGATCCCTCTCTTTCTTTTGATGCAAGTCATATGACGTATATTTCACGCATGAGTGATTACAAACAATTTGAAGAAAGGGTACTTAAAAGTCATCTGAATTTCAAAGAGAAAATCACATTTCTAGAAATGTCATTTTCTGCCCTTTCATATGACACCTCCATCAGTCTTTTGAAGTCTTTACAAATATGTGTCATTTATTTATTATAATTGTGATTAAGTTATGATAAAACATCAATAATTTTTTTTCTTTCTTTCTGGGATGCACTGTATGTTTGCTTTTCTTCTCTCCTTTGATTGAATGAATCGCCTTTCCCAAAGGGTTATGGGGTAGTGACAAGGGGCAGGATGGAGGAAGAGTTATGAATATAGTATATACCCCTCTGTGGGTTAAGTCATACATTATATTTTGACACTTCAATCAAGTTTATTTCCAAATCCCCCCTCTAAGGCTGAATTTTAGTAGAAATGGGGCATTAATCATTTTCTCCTTTGAGGTTGTGTTTCTTGAAATCCCGCTTTTAGAAAGTTTTGTATCTTATTCATTTTGTTGTTGAGGCATCTGTGTTTTTTGTGACATTATTGGAAGGAATTAGGAGACCGGATTTAAAAATAGTTTGATTAATTGAGAAAAAAATTAAGAAAAGTGAAATATTGCTCTACCATGTACAGGTATATACAAATTAGCAGTGAATCATGGTATTTTATTCAGTGTTCAGAAGTTTGGCAAGTTTTTCCATACGGTTTTGAAGCTAGTCTAGAATTGTTGAATTCAGAAAAAGAGGAAAACAAATATTCACATCTCTATCTATAAACCATTTGGAGAGAGTGAGGAAGAGCCACAGAGAGAGAGAGAGAGAGGAAGATGAGGGGTAGAGAGAGAGAGAGAGAGACGGAAGCTGCATTTACACTGAAACTAAAAATCATACATTTTTCTCACATTCCGGTGTTTCGCCGGTAGTTGCATAGCAACTCTAAACAATTGTGTTTGGGTTGGGATGTGTAAATGGGCTTCATGAGAGAGAGAGAGAGAGAGAGAGAGAGAGAGAGGGAGAGAGGGAGAGAGAGAGAGAGAGGGAGGGGGGAATCGGGGAAAATTTGAGGAAGATAGATGAAGGAAGAGACAGACGTACAGAGAGGTTGAAAGAAAAATAGAAATTAAGAGAAGAGAAATTAAGAGAAGGAGCTATAACAGATGGAGACAAAAATGAAGGGCAAGTGTTACAGAAAGGGGGTATAGGGTTGTACAGACATTATGACCTCATTCATTTAATTTGTATTTCTTAAAAATTGTTAAGATTATTTCTACATTTTTAAGTTCTATTTTCACCGACCATGGATTCATAGTTGTTCCATGAACAGACGAGGGCCTCCAACTTTCTTCTAAATACAGTCTAAACATGTATCGATCAATTATCCTTTCCCCGGCCGGGTGCCTAACTAGTTTCTGTGATGTTTTTAGAGAAGAAAAGGATCGTACCATATGTTTGCTGTTGTACAATTTTAGACCAGGGAGCAGGCAGCACCCCCTGTTAATGGATTGATGGAGTGCTGCTGCTTGGCCCGGCATGCATGCTAGCGCAATCACATGCTTGCGTTTGCCTGGATGCATCTAACTTGCCGCTAAATGCACTGTCTCCCCATCAAACCCTGCCAACCAAAAACTGTCCTGAACTTACATAGAAGGGGGGGGGGGTGGAGGACGACAAGGTTTTTTTTAAACCAAGTCTGCAAAACGTCTTATTAGTAATCAATAACTAGGGGGTCAGGTTTGTTTGTTTCATCAAGTTTCTAATGTAGCTCCCATTTCGACCGGCTGAAAGCTGTACAAATTTCATCATCTGCGCCATTTCGATGACACGTCTTTCAGGGAGATTAAACGTGATATTGATCGTGAAATCAACTGAGTAAATATTTGATGCTCTCGTAACCGTTTTGGGGGAGATGGAATCGTCTGGGTGACACTGGGCTTGGGTTGGATTCGTGTGATGTTTGCATGGAAGAGAGAGAGTGATTGAAAGACTCGCGTCAAAACAATTGAACAAACGTAAAGCTGTGAAGACGCTTGATGGTTTGTTTTATGTTTAATGTCACTAAAGGTGAAATATGGATTTTCATTCTTTGAGAGTGTTCCATTTTGATTCTGTTTGAGATGGAAAGTAGGAGCGGAAGAGAGTGAAGAGCATCCAAGGCTGGATGATAGGTAGATGAATTTAATTAGTTGTATTAATGATTTCTCTTCTTGAAGAGATTAAGTAGAACCCCCAGTAAATGTTACAAAAGAATAACTATGCATCTTTTGATAAGCATCTGTTAATTTTTCTGAATTGAGGACAAAAATGTGTGATTATGTGAAATGAAATATCACTTGTTTAGAGATAGAAGAATGTTAACCTTAATTATTTGAGCTTTAAGTACCCTCCATGCTTTCAGCAGATGATATGAAGAAGAAGAAGAAGATGATGATGATGGTGGTGATGATGATGATGGTGATGATGGTGGTGATGATGATGATGATGATGGTGATGATGATAATGATGATGATGGTGATGATGGTGGTGATGTTGATGATGGTGGTGGTGATGATGGTGGCGATGATGGTGAAGATGATGTTGATGATGATGTTGATGATGATGAATTGATGATGATGATGGTGGTGATGATGATGATGGTGAAGATGATGTTGATGATGATGTTGATGATGATGAATTGATGATGATGATGGTGGTGATGATGATGGAGGTGATGATGATGTTGATGATGATGGTGGTGATGATGATGGTGATGATGATGATGATGATAATGATGATGGTGGTGATGATGATGGTGGTGATGATGATGTTGATGATGATGATGATGATGATGATGGTGATGATGATGATGATAATGATGATGGTGGTGATGAAGATGATGATGAAGATGATGATGATGATGTATATGATGGTAACAAATATAAGGGCAAGGGTAGGAGTCTTAGTAATCCAAAAAACAAAAAATGAGTAATGACAAAATTAAATATTAAACAATAACAGTTATGACAATGATTCTGCTACAGCTACTGCAGATGATAGTACTAGAGTTCTCACTTAATTTCATTTCACTAATTTCCAAGCTTTCCATGCATAGCTGACAATTAGAGCAGAAATATATCCATTCCATTAATGTGCTGTTTCGGAGCCAGAAGGACATTTACTCTGTAAAACGATAAGAGTTAACGCCATCCTGGCTCTCATCAGATGAATTTATAATGTAAATGTATTGCTGCTCTTTAGCAAATGAGCGTGTAAATGGTACCTATTAATTTGATAAATGGGACATGGTTTGAAGATCAAGGCTACCGAATGCTCTTGATGATGCACAGCTAGTGCTCCTGCAATGCATGTAGCATCCCTACGTACATCTTCATCATATTAACAAACCAATTATGATATGATTTTGATATACGGTAAACATATTTTTCATAGACCTCATCCTAAGTTACGTTAGGCTTAGTATTCAACTGGTCAAGATGCGGTCAGAGAAATTCCATTTACATGTATTTTAATGTCAGAATTCCTTTTCTCTTCAGAGCTGCAATGGCGTTAACTACATGTATGTGCTAAAGTATGTGAGTTAATGACCTAATGGCTCCAGAGTCCTAACTGACAATATTTCTTTACATGTTTATTTATAGGCTTTTTTTGTAACATAACCAAATTTAATGCATACGTCTCTAGTGCCTCAATATAAACTATTTCATTCAACTGATAAGAATAATAGAATTTCAATAGACAGAATCCGAAACTGCATACATTATGGCCGAATTCACAAAGGAGGTTTGTCAACAAACCTAGGTTTATGTGCATCATATGACGTGTTTTGACGCGTTTTAAAATAACCTTGGTCTGTAAAAACCTAGGTTTTTTGACAAACCTCCTTTGTGAATTCAGGCCTACGTGTTGCCCTATATAGATACACATAATATAAGCATTTTGCATTCTGACTCTTAAATTACTACTATTCTTATCAGGTGAATGATATAACTTTGTATTGAGGCACTTCACAAAGACGTACTAAAAAGACACAGTTTTGATTAGTCTCCTTTTCTCATCAAAGTTATAAAAATATAATTAATTATTGTATTTCTTTTCATCTTTTTCTTTCCCATTTTTGTCTTGATGTCCATCTCCTTTTCCTTGTCTTACTCTTTCCTTATTTTCTCACTTTCCTTCTGCTGCTGTTCCTTTCTTCCCCTACTTATTAATTTGTTCTTCTTTCTGTTTCTCTACTTTCTTTTCCTCTTCCTGTCTCCCTCTCTTCTCTCTTCTCTCCCTCTCTTCTCTCCCTCTCTTCTCTCCCTCTCCTTTTCCCACCTTCCCTGTCCTTTTCTCTCCCTAACCTTTTCTTTACCCTCTTTCTTGCTCCATTTCCCAATACAGTGGTTTGCAGTACGGTAACAGAGCGAGAAGGGGACACAGTGATTTGTCTAGCTGTGGTAAGTCTAATGTTTTCATCATTTCTTCAGGGTTGGGTACACACTCTCACCAAATCGTCAATGCCGATGATCCTATAACATTTTACTTACAATAGGGGCTTTCACATCAGCCTCAAACTTCTATATTTTCTGGGGGCTCATTTTTTTAATGAAAAAAAAAATTCTTTAGAAGGGACACATGTGCCGTAAAGATGGATAATGGGCTACTTGGAAGGGCTTCCGGGGCATTTTTGTCAGCTTGGCGATGTATCGCCTCAAACGGTTTTGTGCTACATGCTACATTACATTAAAATACCTGGGACTTAAGTTGAGTCTTGTGAGTGTTCGACCACAATTTTTTTCTTTCTTCAAACTGTTAGTCTGAAATCTGATTTATTTATTTATTTTGAATTGGAGAGTGTGAAAACATGTAGGGAAACTAACATTACTTAACATTTTGCTAGAATTTGATAAGAGCAACACACACCAAATCGTCGCCGTTTTCACGAACCGGCACAAGCCACCGAAATCCCTTCAAAATGTAGTTTTTATTTTTTTTGCATTTTTAGCATAAATTATCAACAATCTTTCATCTCACCAAATTTCAGCATCCAAAACGCTTTAGTTTTTGAGATATCCATGGTTACACAAATGACAAAAACGACACACGAGCCAAAAAGCATGATTCATATTTTCACGAACCGGCACGCGCCGTTATAAGTCAATGGGCTGTGCCGGTTCGTGAAAATATCTTTGCGCTTACAAGACCTAGACGACGCGACACAGGCGGTTGTGCCGGTTCGTGAAAATAAAATACGCGCTAAGACAGCGCGAGCGCTTTTGTCTTGCGCGTAAAGTTACATAGGAAAAACGACACAGTGGCTTGTGCCGGTTCGTGAAAATATTTTTGCTACGTAAACAGCAAAATAATATTTTCACGAACCGGCACGAGAGTCCAAAGCTTCGTAATATTAATAGCAATTGTCATTATGCTTAACAAATGGAATGTATAGAAAATACAGAATATTTTCCTTTCATTGATATGTATTTTGTGATATAAAATTTGACATAAGGCATGTTTCTGGCGAATTCAAAATGGGCTAAACGTAAAACGCGTTTTTCTCAGAATGTATTTATTTCGTTGCGCGTTGGGCTGTGCCGGTTCGTGAAAACGGCGACGAAATGTGGCATCAGTTGTAGAAGGGAAGACAGTATTGAGAAATGTTAAACAACCATCAATGACCAATGTACATTTTTCTTGAGGTCTTTATTAGTGAAGAAAGAAATGTGAGATACATACATGTATAGTGTGGTTTAAGTTGTTGGTTTGTGGTATTCCATGATAGAATTGATGAATATGAGTGATCAAATGAAATAAAGATAATTTCTTTGGTGTGTTGTTCTGATTTTGATGAGGAAAGACTGAAAAAAAAAGGAGTTTCAGGCAAAATATACAATTTGTAATTTTGTACATCTCATAATCAAATACTGACACAGGAAACACAGAAAAAATGTTCTGTCGTCACCTAATATTTTGTTATTGTTAATTTTCTATATAGTGCTGTCCATATACTGTGGTAACACATATTAAAGGGATACTCAAAATAATGGGGAAGGATAAAACAAAAGACACCTAATTTGTTTCTTGGACAACTTTTCCCTCTTTATAATCAGGTACTTCATTGAGAAAAAATATGCCTCATCCATCCGAACCCTATTTCGTTTTTTTCAAGTGGTTTCAAATATATCAACATTTCATCTTTATTATAGATAAAGTTGAGTTCTGGTCATGCGATTGCATTGTGAAAGAAAAGGTGTGGAATAGATCGGAAATAGTTGATCATATTATTGGTGTGTACTGCAAGGTTCTGGAGTCATCAAAATCATAATAAGTTTGGCCCAGTAACAAGCACTGTACACAGAAAGATGTATATGGGACTACACAAATAATGTTGGGGTTACTACAATTGATTTCCTTATCTATCGATCCTCATTACTCAGCCAGTATACATTTTCTACCAAAATTGTTTGGCAAATGATATTTATTTGTAATCTTGAACATTCAGTGAAAGCGTCGTTTGACTCTCTGAGAATTTGTTTATATTTTTTTTACCAGAACCCAAGTTTATCTTTAATTTCAACATAGTATTATTTTATAATTAGTCCTTTGAAATCACATTTTTTTTAGATTAGGTAGAATTAATCATTTTTAATCATCTTGATTCTTGAAACAAGATCAAATCTCCAAAGCGGGTCCCGCCATGAGTCATCCTTTAATCACTGCAGTAAATGAGAAATGATAGCTTGCCTCAGAAGGATTAAAGCTCTTGGGATTAATTAGAATGTGCTTGTTTTTAAGTTGGTTAATGCTCCCCGTTTCACACTCTGATACATGCTGTAAAATAGAGCACATCTCTGATCTCATTCACCCTGTGAATGATGGATTGTTCTACTTTGCGAGAGTAGCATTCTTACTCAACCCTTTTATTCCACCCAATAAGAATATTGTTTGTATTTGCGCCTTGAGCCATTAGTCAGAAGGAGTTGCATTTTTATAATTATTGTTGTTGTTGTTCTTCCTCCTCTTCTTTTTCTCCTTTTCCTTCTTCATCTTCACCATCATCTTCTTCTTCTTCCACCTCTTTTTGGTATTCTTAAAATAACGGAATATTCTGAACATTCATGTCTTCAACTTGATTTGTTGACGTAAATATCTTTTCATATTTTGTTCTTTTATATCTTATTGAATAATAACTTACTTTGAGGTCCAAACTTGGATTAACACACATACATATAGATGTACAATAAAAGTGTATGCAGTATTTTCTTTGAGAGACATATATCGTCACTGTTTTCACGAAGTGACGGTAGTGAAACAAATTGCATTCACTTTGCATTACGATTTTCCTCACTACCGTCACTTCGTGAAAATAGGGACGATATTGTCTGTTTAAAGCCAGAAAGGCGTTATCTCTCTATTAAGTATATCAGTTAATGCCCTTTTGGCTCCAAACATATGTTGAAATAAAACTTTAGATTTTCATTAGAGGGACATTAGTTACAGGGAGACGAAGACTACACTATGTTCACTTTAGATTCAAATACAAGAATGCTCTTTCGCTATGAGCAGGAAGGTGTCTGTTCGAACATGTTTCTTGGGTGTATTGTACTTCTCCAAGCCGCTCAGATAATCATCATTAATTAGCAAAGATGTATTCAAGGTAATTAAGGTGCATTAAGGATGATTAACCGGCCTTGTTCGGCGGGAAAAAGACGGTAGAAGAGAGAGAGAGACGGAATGCTAGACACATTTTAAACTCATTAAGATATTTGTGTGGTTCATATCTTAACCTTTTAAATACTCGTGTTTGATGACTCAGGCTGGGTTGGGTGGAAAATGAGTTATACTAAAATCAAATGGTATCAAAGTGGTTAAGGGTATATGATGTGAGTGTGTTTGTGGAAAGAGTTGCATTTTTAAATCAAATGTATAGAATTTATACACAAGGCTAATCTTCTTTTTTTGTTAACCTTAATAATGAACAGTTTGTCTGCTTGAAACTAGAAAGGCATTTACTTTGTATTACAGTTAATACCTGTCTACAATAATGATAATGATTGATGATAATGATAAAAATAGTAATAATGATAATGATAATAATAATAATAATAACAATAATAATACTAACAATAATGATACCAGTAATAATGATAATAATAATAATAAAAATAATGATAATAAAAATAATACTCTAAATAATAAAATAGGTTGATTTTAACTGCTTTTGACTTTATGCCTTTCGGCCACGACAGACATTCTTTCCCTTTCCAACGTTTATGATTATGAATGAAGTCACATACACAAGCACTTTGCCACGATGACATACTTTTTGGAGATAATTTTTCAACTGCTTTATAATATCAACCCCATTCTGATATTTTTCAAGCTTTGATTACCTAATAGAATTATTTGAGACTGCCACAAACGTGGATATACCGTTGGCTGTCTGCAAGTGGGCCTTGAGAGCTAATTATTTTCAATTTAAGGGCAGCTGAAGATACATAGTTTTTTAAAAAATGTGGCAGTCTAGCGTTTTGATTCATAGTAACTAAAGAATTCACAGAAATGTTCTTTAGTTTTTGTTGTTGAAATTTCAGCAATATCTCAGCACTAGCGGGTGGAGGGATTCAGTCTTGTTTCAGTAACCAGTACAGTTTTAAAGCCCGTCGGCAAGGCAACCCCCCGGGAAGAAGACATTGCCGTCATTTTGTTCCCCCGTTTCAGTCACTAAGTGACATGGAACGCACGGTTAAGTGCAGCTCATTGTGAAGTTAATTTAGAAGAGTGACAATCCTGAAGGCAAATAAAATTCATCAAAATCTGTAATTTCACATTTTGACTCGCTAAAGGGCTGGGAGTGATGAGGGAGGCAGAAGAGAGGAGAGAGGAAACGGGAAGATGAAATGAATGGATGGATGTGCGAAGGATCACAAGAGGAAGAGCGAGAGAGAGAGAGAAGGGAGAAAGAGGGAGAGACAGAGAAGGGAGAAAGAGAGAGAGAGAGAGAGAGATACAGTTAGAGAGGGATGAGAAGGGGGGGGGGGAAGAGACAGTTAGAGAGAGATGAGCGAGAGAGAGAGAGAAGAGGAGAAAGAAGGAGGTGGCAGATCAGGGACAGAAAAAGAAGAGAAAGAGATACAGTTAGAGAGGGATGAGAAGGGGAGAAAGGGACAGTTAGAGAGAGATGAGAAGAGGACAAAAGAGACAGAGAGAGGGAAGGGGAGAGGGTAAGATGGAGATTTAAAAACATAGAGATGGAAAAGGGGAGGAAAATAAAAAGAAAGAAAGAAAGATATAGCAGTGGAGATGATGAGATCAATAGAAAATTTACATTAAGATATAGATGGATAGATGGAAAGATAGATAGATACACACATAGAGAGAGAGAGAGAGAGAGAGAGAGAGAGAGAGAGAGAGAGAGGGAGAGATGGAAAGAAGGAAGTACAATATTTAATGATTTATTTTATTTGAGTAGTTTCTTGATTTTTGTTGTTGTTATCAATGTTTATTTTAAAAACACAAGACAAATCGTCCTTGTTTTCACGAAGTGACGGTAGTGAGGAAAATCGTAACGCAAAGTAAATGCAATTTTTTTTCACTACCGTCACTTCGTGAAAACAGCGACGAAATTGTACTTTTTTGGGGGAAACCATTGCCACATGAAAGGTTCTATTATTCATATGCACACCACACTGCATTCTGTGGTACAGTGTCTTACTTCTTTTGTGAACCTTGGGCTTTATTTCGAAAATGTACCATTATTAGCGGTGCAAACAATACTTCAAAGGACAACATTATGACTCCAATCACTTCTATGTTTCATGGAATAAATCTCTTCAAGAGTGTGAAATTGCAGAAACCTATTAAGATAAAATGCTGATTTTCCCTTGATTCAGAAGGTAATTAAGCCAAGCTGGCATTA